TCTTATGTCCTCCAACCAATACTTCCAAACTAGTCTGCCTTGAAGAAACTACACCACCAAAATAAATGCTCAATTGTTTCTTCTTCTTTCCCACAAAAATCACACCTCTTGTCAACATATTGTCCCTGCCATATGCTTTTGGTAAAAATCAATCCCTGCACCAACCTCTACATAAGCAGGCAAGTTATTAGTGGAATAATGACATAATGTTCTTATTGAATCACACAATCAAGAAAATCACATCCAGTTCTAATGTCCATAGGCAAAGTTCATAAACTTGATAGATAGGGCCCATGTCCGAGTTTATTACCATTGATGATTTCAAATCAGCGCTAACAAAACACTATTTTACACAATTGAAGATCCTAACTTTGAAAACAAAACTAATGGTATGCCTTTTTTTAACCCCAAAATTTACTCCAGGTGGAGGGGTGCCCACCTTAAAATTTTATTAATCATTATCAAAAATATTATAAAAATTACAGGGGAGGACGTAGCTTGCCTTGCTCGAGATCTCAATAACAATAAGCTCCCCTTGAACCTCTTAGACCCACCCATAACATTAAGAGACTCTTTGCAAAGGAAGGCCAACAATGTCTTCAAATACTAGGGTTTTAAGCTGATTTGGAAGCTTTGAAAATTGAGTGTATAAGCTGAGATTCTCTAAGTCAACTCCATGTTTTGTAAGAAAATTTGCATGTCTGTTCACTTCTCTATATATATGGTTAACGAAGCAAGAGAGATGAGGGGCTAAAGCTTTAACCTCAATCATTTGATAGTATATGCTCCAAGGTGCAATACCCCTAGAATTGAGAAGATTCACAATAATGTAATTATTACATTCAATTTCAATATTGAAAATATTATGATCGTAGCATAACTTCAAATCATCCTAGAGGGCATTAATTTCAGATTGAATAGAAGTGCATTGACCATACGACTTAGAGAAATTTGCAAAAAACTTACCATTCTTATCTCGAACAATCCCGCCACTACCTCTGAAGCTTGAATTTCTCCTAGAAGCACTATTAGTATTTAATTTGAAATTGCCACAAGGAGGAAACATGTTTACTCATTTGTAAGATCTAGAAGAATGAGGCTTACTAGGAATTGGGAGGGTGATTGCCCATCTTCTATTGTCATCCCTAGATTTTGGAAGGGGCACCACAATATTAAGATCGAATAACCAATTTTTAATGTGCTGAATAATCTTACTTGCTAAGAGGAATTTCACCATCAAAAGTCCTACATCTTTCAGTCCACACTTCCCACGATAACATTGAAGGAAGAATCATGAGCACTTGGCAACGTTGTGAGTTTTTGTTACAAATAAACTTGTTCATGGGCTAGATAGCCAGATGGGTTGGCTTGGCCCGACCCGTTATAAGTCGGGCTTGGTCATAATTTTAGGCCCGTGGGTTCGGGCTTGACTTTGTTTCAAGCTGGGCTTGGGCTTTCTCAAAAAAGCCCAACCCAACCCAAGCCTGAGCTCGACTTGTATTAAATAATAAAAATATATTTTGTTTAATATATATATATATATATATAGTATTTTTTCTTTGTTCTTCTTCTCTTTTTTCCAAGTAATAGTGAGATGTTTATTATTTTTGGGTTTTGAAGGTTTTTAATATAAATAAAGCACTTTTCTTTATTGAATAAAAAAAGAAAAAAAATTCAATTTTCAAATTTTTGGCTGAGCTCAGGCTTGGGCCCAAGCTTCGGGCTTTATATGAGGGTCGGGCTCGGGCTCGGGCTCGGGCTTGAGTGTATTCTGTTGATACATATACCAATCCAAGATGAGATATCTGATGTGTTGAAAGGGGTGTATTGAGATTTCAAAAATTCTTGCAAAATACCTCCAACATTTGAAAGCTAGAACACTCAAAGAGAACAAATGATCAAAAGTCTTTTCACTAGGGATCCCACAACACCTAGAAGCCATAGAAATTTCTTTCTGTTTGACTAAACTGTCCATTGGAATAGCAAAAGAAAAAAAGCACCACATGAACACTAAAATTTTGGTTGGAATCCCAGAAGGCCAAACAAATTTGGACCAACTAACTTTCAATGCCATGAGTTTGAACAGGATTCCAAGCTGACCCAGTTGAGAATCGGCCATTATTATTTTCAATCCAAATCAAACAATCCTTACCATTAGTTCTCACCACACCAGATCTATGAGCAAGAAGCTGAATGCTAGGCTCAACTTTAAGATTTTCAGGAAAACACAACGAGCCATCAAAGTTTAAGACTTCGTTCAGGTTGAAGTCAGCAATTTCTTCTTCACTTGTCTCATTAATTAATGGACCATTACCTATCCAATTGTGGAACAAAAGTAGATATTTCCATCACCTATAAGCCACTTACTTGTTTGAAGCGAAAAAACTACCTCAAGAAAACAATGGTATTGGCAAAGACAACTTTAGTTTAGAATCACAATATTTTCAACAACTGGACTTGGTCCCATTGTTGGAGTAAATTGAAGTAGAATACTTGGGTTGTGGTTGTATGTTTATTTTATCTCCAGAAACTCAAATTGATAAAGTATTCTGGTTTGTCTTTGCCTTTTGAATTTTCACTTCATATGCTCTTCTTGAGTTCTATCTTCATCCTACAATTTCCAAGAGATAAATTACAATTAGCAAGTCCCTTTATGTTATTGTTAGTATGGACGTGGACATCTATATATGGTATATTCTTAATCAAAAGGGCTTAACCTTATCTAAATGTATCCTTATTTTGTTTTTAATTTTTTCGCTAACACATTGACAGTTATTTATTCAATTATAAAAAGATTTTAAGAATATTAAAGCTCTAATTTGCAGCGTTATAGCTCCAACTATTGAGACATAAGGAATAAAACTTGTGCTGCAACAAATAATAGCTCCCAGTACAGAAAGTGCTTAGTGCTAAAGGCTTTTATTATCAAATGAAGTGACAATGAGAGAGTTAATCTTAGAATGTGTTTGACTTCAACATCACCCTTTAAGTTAAAAGAGAAAATTAGGGGTGCAACTTTGTGGATTGTTGGGGGGTGGGGTTGGGCTGGGTTGGACTTTTGTCAAAATTTTAATGGGCCTGGGTGAAAATATTGTAAAATGCTAATTCGGGCCATCCCATGTTGCACCCTTAGTTGGAAAAAGGAAGGAAAAGGTCGGAAAATCTGTACAAGCCTTGTATGAATTTATCTATTTTTTTTTTTATTTTTCCTTCCTTTTCCTTCAAGCCAAACACATTAGAGGAAAAAAAAAGAAAAAAAAGATGCAACAAATCATTCATGGGTTGTCAACAAATCGTCAAGATTTAGGCAAATTCTTTTGATTCCAATGTACCCCTAATTTATGCTTCCAATATCAATAATTAGGAGGAGAAATTGTTTATAAATGAGTAATTACATATCTCCTGTAATGTCATCTTCTCCGGTTTCAGCCATGCTGATTGGGTGGTATGAGTTATGAGTCATACATTTGCCGATCAGTTCTGGTTCTGAGTTTTGTGTCTCGATGATGATTTGGTCGGGATCGGTTTGATACCAATTCGATTAAGACCTGAACCGAATGCTTGTATTAATATATAAAAGCTATTATGCTTTTTTTTTTTATAATTTTTGTTATATTTTATTTTTAAAAGTTAAATTTAATATACAGTGTATAAGATAAATTTAGTTAAAAGAACCTGCTTTATATACACAGGTCTCCTATTTATTGTCCTTTTATTAGGGTTAAAAATGAGGTTTCAATTTATTATAATACACGTAATTATAGATTTAAAATATAATCCGGCCAGACCCGATTAACTCAATTAAGAATTAGTTGGATACTTCGACTTTAGGTCTAGTTTTGGAGTTTCTCACAAGGGGTATCCCGCCATCGCTTACTGGTGCATCAAATCAGGCCCCCACTAGGGGCGCCCCACAGTATATCTCTATAGTGTATTGGAAACATCTCCTAGTGATTCTTTATTATTTTTTGGTAATCGGGAAATGTTCCTAATATACGGCGGGATGTGCTGTGGGACGTTGTGGGGTGCCTCTTATGAGGGGATGATTTGAATTCATCATATTGTTAAACTGTTTTCAATTATTGACGAGGCCCAGAAGCATAGTTTTTAAAACTGGATCGGATTAGAAAAATTGAGAACCAGTCAGGTCTGTTTTTTTTGAAATTGGGTTTTCTCTAAAAACCATTAGTTTTGATCAGCAAACTATTAACCTGGACGATTAATTGTTCGAACCGTTTAAACGATTTTAACTACTTTTTACTTTTTTAATTTTTTTGTCAAAATAGACCCAAGAACTGAACCCTGACCTGTTCGCTCTCCGGGTCGGTTTTAAAAACCATGCCCAGAAGAACGGTACATGTATATAGGCCTAATGGATTGCTTCGGGCTAAGACATTGGCATGTTGGACCCAGCCCCTTGAGATATAGAGTGAATGGCGGTAGATCTCACACTGTGACCAGAGTCACCAGACTCCGGAGGACCAGAGCACTAGAGCAGCAGCAGCAGAGCTCTCTGACAGTCGACTCTCGTTATTCGTTGGTCTGGTCGTTACTTTCTCTGCAAGTTGTGAATCTTAGCGTTGGTTGCTTTTAGTTACACTGCTTTGACGATAATACTGCCAGATGGACGGATTGGATTCGTTCAACCAAAGGTCTTATGTGTCTTGGTCTCATGATATATACAAAATGACGATAGTATCCCTGAACAAAAGGTCGAACATGCAGTATGATTGTTCTCCTCACACCGAATCTGCTCCTCACAGAGCGCGTCTGATAATGATCTCACGGTCACACGAACATCCCACCGTGCAATGGGAACATCTTTATATATAAGTACGGGAGATGCTCCCGATATATGATGGTGGGATGTGTCTGTGAGGTCTGTGTGAGGAGCAGATCCGTTCTCAATAGGGCCGTAGGTAAGGTAACGACCCTATGCAAAAAAGGGAAGGTATACACCATTGTGCCGATAAATCGCACGAACGCCTGATAAATTAAAAATCGCGCGAGAAGATACCATTCTGAGAGGAAATCGATTTCTGGGCAAAGGCAAACCCCAGACCCAGAGAGTAGCAGCAGAATCAACAGTTTCTCTCTCTCTCCCTCTGCATCTCTTGAATCTCTTGCCTCTTTAATGGCGACTGTAGCCTCAACGCGAATTCGCGGTTTACCCTTTTATGAAGACGCAAACCCTAAGAACTGAAACACCCAAACAATTACGGCCATGGAGGAAGAGAGGTTCGTCTCTGCCAGAGAAAGCCCTCGGAATTTAGGGTTTCTGTCAGAGCGTGGCTCCAGCACCAGTGGCGGCAGCATCAACAGCAGCAAGGCCGTGCCCAATGACCTCGCTCAAAAGCCTCCACCTCCAATTCTCGAAAAATTTAGGGCTCTGTTGAAGGAGAGAGAAGAGGAGATGAGGGTCTCGGATGACGACGACGTTCCGCCTCCGAGCACCGAAGAGATTGTTCGACTTTATGAAGTTGTTCTATCGGAGCTCACTTTCAATTCGAAGCCTATTATCACAGAGCTTACGATTATAGCCGGTGAGCAAAGGGAGCACGGCGAGGGAATTGCTGATGCAATTTGTGCCCGTATTATTGAGGTACCATTAGCGGCTCGGAGGGGTTGGAGTTGCTAGGATTGATTTGTGTTTGTTTTTTGAAATAACTATTTGTATTTGTACAAGATACTTTTTAGTTAATCTTCCTTTTGCTCTAAGCAGTTTCCATTTTTTTTTTGTTCCAAGCAGTTTCTTTTTATATTACACTTCTCTTCATGGGTATGGAAGTGTATAGAGAAAGTTGAGTTTCTAAGTCCTATGAGTAGATTACTGCGTGCTTTCTTTGTTTGAGGAATCCAACACTCGCTGACTCACTCACTTAGACATACACCAAGAAAGAACGAAAGGAGTGAAGTTGAGGAAGAAAGAGTAGGCAAAGAGATTTTTATGTGTATTAGGTATTGGGGTCCCGTCTTTTTTTTTTCGGGAAGCGAGTATTTTCTTCTTGTTTTCTTAAGAAGTCATAACATAGGGGAGGGGGTTATGCACTTGCAAACTGATTTTTTTGGTTTATGGGGAAACTTGATTTTTCCCCTTGCTGGATATGCTGATTCTGTTTATTAGAGTATTCCGGTGTGCTATAATTGCACAAGAACTTCTATTTGTTTTAAGAAATTCAGCTTCTCAAATCTTAGTATAATGATGAAATAAAAAAGAAACTCAAATCATAGTTATATGTATAAGCTGCTAAGATCTGTTTATTCAAAAAGCAAAACAAAGCACAATTAATTCACTGGTGGTTAACTTTCAGATACAATCAACACTGTTTACCCCACTTTTTGCAAGTTCATCTGCTAGACTATTGTCAACACACTTAATTCTCAAACTGGATGCCTCTGGGCCTTTGTAAGGATGTAGAAAATCTTCCAAGGGATTGACCCAACAGATGACATTGCCAGAAGTTCCCTTGAACCTACACTTTTGTTGACCCATGAGAATGGTTGATTCTCATTACCATGGGATGAGGCTATAACTAACTATATCTATTGCACCTGAGCAGTTGTCTCAAGTGTAAGGGCTGAAGCTTGTATTAAAAAAGCTTCTTCTTTCTTGACATAGGCATAACTAACTATATCTTTGAAGCCATAAGCAACACCTCATCTGCTTCTCCTTGACATAGGACAGATGGGGGGCCTCTTGAGTTTAAGTTTGTGATGGAGAGAACAGAGGAGGTTATGGAGCTGGTTTATGAACTCAAACAGAATAGAATAGATTGTGGCCAGACTTTAAGGTCCCAGCTGGAGAATTTTGGTTTCAACCTTTTCTTAAAGATTCTTTCCCTCTTTGTAACTTGTGAGGCTTGCTCTAGACTTGTATTACTTGATACTCTTGCTGCTTTGTTCTACTTAGTGATCTTGAATTCTTGAGATTGAAGGTTTTACATGCTTGAATCATTTTGGTGCCATACATATGTTTGCTTTCACTTACACATTTTCCCTTTGAATGCACTTCATATTTATTTTTATGTATCTTAACTTGAGACAATAGTCTTTTTAAAACATTTAATTTCTTTTAAAAATCAGCTTTGCATTGTGCGTTATTTTTTTTTTCAAAAATTTGCATCTTGCTTCGAAAAGGTATGCACCTTACCGCCTTGTCCTTGGGTGCTAGAAGGCCCTTCTGCTTTTCTTGTGCCTAGTGATTTTAAAACACTGTTCTCACTTGATGGACATTCACTGCATGGTACTTGTCTTTTGCAGGTTCCAGTTGAGCAAAAGCTGCCATCTTTATATCTTCTGGACAGTATTGTGAAGAATATTGGCCGTGAATATGCGAGGTATTTTGCTTCCCGCCTCCCTGAGGTGAGTGGATTACGACAAATGATGCATGAACATTTTTTAATTGCTATCCACACACACACACACACACACACACATATATATATATGTAAGAATACACTGATAAACATGCATATGGACATCTAAATAGATTACTTAGTCCTATTCTCTGGATTGTCTATATCTTGACTGCCTTGTGGGTGGCTAGTCCAGACCATCCATCAGGTAAGGGGCCTTTGGATTTGCCATGGTTTAGCTTCCCTGTTCCATTTTCAACTCTTTAACCCACCTTTTATTGGAGCTTTTCCCATTTGGTATTGGCTGCTGAAAGCATCAATATTTTGTTAAAAATAGGAAATAAGTTTAGTTGTCCATGTGGCAGTGCCTTTTGAAATTTGCTCATTAAAAGAGAGTAGAGGATGGGACACATGGAGAGCTTTGTCAAGCCACACTTATGGTCCTACCTTTATGATAAGGTTTGATGGTGGGGTTGTTTAGTAAATAACTCTAAAACAGACAGTCCAGGAATTCCCTACCATTTGGCTAAAGTAAGTCCTTAGGGACATGCTTTAAAACTAAAACATTAGAATTTAGTATCTCTTATTATCTAGGGGGATCTCCAATACGAGGTCGGACATAGGGCTGGTGTGGATGGGGAGAATGATAAATGCTTCATCCAGGGTTCACCTATCCAGTGGACAGGGAAATTCTGGCCACAAGATCACTCCATCTGGCAAAATGTATATGCTGAGATGGATGAGTGGAAAAAACTAGAAAGGATTAGGTCAGAAATGAAGAAATTTTAAGGAACCTAGGAGTAGCTCCAATAGGTGATAAATGAGAGAAAGTAGACTTAGGTGGTTTGGCCACATGCATAGAAGATCACCTACAGAGTCCATAAGAAAAAGCGATCAGTTACAAGTTGAAGGGGCTAGAAGGGCTAGGGGTAGGGGCAGACCAAAAAGGACATGGTTTGAAGTGGTAAGAAATGATTTAAGTGCTCATTATTTAACAATTGATATGACATTAAACAGAACGGAATGGAAAAACAAGATTCATGTTGCCGATGCCATATAGTTGGGATAAGGCTTAGATGATGATGATTATATATCTACACATTATGAAATTTTGTGGTATTAATCTGTTACATTATCATTTCTGTCCAGGTATTCTGTGAAGCATACAGGCAAGTTCAACCAAACCTATATCCAGCAATGCGCCACCTCTTTGGGACATGGTCAACAGTATTTCCAACTAAAGTGCTTCGAAAGATTGAGGTCGAACTGCAGTTTTCTCCAGCTTCAAACCAACAATCAACTAGCTTGACAGCTCCAAGATCATCTGAAGAATCTCCACCTCCTCGACCAAGTCATGGTATACATGTCAATCCAAAATACTTGGAAAGACGTCAAATTGAACATTCATCATTTGCAAATGTAAGTTTTGCTGTGGATCTCTCTCTCTCTCTCTCTCTCCATCCTGTATACAGGAGTGTTATATTACAAACACTCCTGTATGAGTTTGATCTCTTTTTAACCAATTATAAGGAGACAGTTATACTTTCAGTGTTTAGAGAGTATGTGCATGTTATTCTGGCTGCCGTGCTAAAGACAGGATTCCTTTTGTACCGCATAAAAGGCTAATGTGTAAAAATGTTTTTTTTTTGTGTATTTTTTTTCTGCCACTCTAGAACAAAGATTGCAACTATTTTTATGGAAGTCTGTGAACCTCCTTCTCTAGTGATGACTAGTGATTTTTTAGAAACTTGAATATAAAATGATTGCTGGGATCAACATTCAGTTGAACATATGGCTTGAATGTGAGAGCAGACACTTTGGCAAAAATGCCAAAGGTTAGGTCTGTACCCAGTATGCCCCTTCCAAGACTGCAGATGGCTGGGACCAACATTGGGTAATGGCCAATTTTGAATATAAAATGATCTTGGTCCAGCATGTGTGCCACTTTGGAGTGCTGGACAGGGTATCTCCTCAGCTGCACCCTTATAACATACTCTTTCTTCCTCATTCTGATTGTCTCTGGAACAGTGGAAGGATGTAGTTTTCTAATGTTTGTCATTGCTTGCAGTGTACAATATTTTAAAATGCGGGTGAAGTCTTATGATCTGCTAATGTGCAAGATGTGAGCCTTTAGGCATGAGGCTTAAGCCTCTAGAGATTTCATTATTTCTGGAAAAAATGAACTAAATCAAGAACAGGTATAAAACTTTCATAAGGGATTACATTTTTTATAAGAAAGCATATATGGAAGATTCATCATATAAACAGTGGGTAAAAACTAGTAAAAGATTTTAGGAATTTCTTAATCTAAATCGAAACCTTAAATAGGTGTTGGAAGCATAGATGTTTACACAATAAAAAATACATGAGAAAATCATAGAAATAGTCTCTAACTCATTCTTTGATAACTAATAAAGGTTATGTTACATCAAAAGAAAAAAATCAACCCAACTTCAGCTTCAGCATTGAGGAGCTCCCAATCTTTTTAATTACTTATTCACCAAAGACAGGGCATAAGTCATTCAGTTCAGCCACTGAAGCTTTTATCAGAGATCAGATGGTCCTTTGTACATTGATAACCAATAACCTCAGAACTGAAAAACTAACAGGACTAAATGGAGGGTTATGATTCCCGATATAATAAAGATGGGCATTTTGTTGCAGTGGAAGGGGACTCAAGGAATGTCATTACTTGGGTTTCTAGACAGGCTTCTGGACCCTGGAACTTCTGCCATTTTTTGGCAGAAATTCATGAAATCTCCTCTCGTTTTGTAGCTTCAGATGGATTCCCAAAGAGCTAAACCAAGTAGCTGACTATCTAGTCTCTAGCAAAATCTGCATCGGGAAGGGATTGTTTGTATAGTGGTAATATAATGCCAAGTAACTAATGGGCTTTGTCTTTTGTTTTTGTTGTCAAGGCCTTGTACATCTTCTCATGTACATCCCTCCCTCTTTTTGAATATAATCTGTTACCTTTTTCTCAAAAAAAAAATCATTCTTTGATAATTAATAAAGGTTATGTTGCATTAGAAATAAAAAAGATCAATCAAGCTTCAGCATTAAGGAGCTCACAATCTCTTAATAAGTTATTCACCAAAGACAAGTTATGATTCCCAATATAATAAAGGTCGTCTCTGAACTCCCTCTGTAGCATGTCAATTTGTAAGAGTATTAGCTAGGGCTGTAGTCAGATCTGATCAGCAAAATTGTAATCCGATCTAAAATCTGATTGGATTTGAAGACTTCGGGTTTGAATTTGAATCCGAGCGGACTTGGATTGGATTCGGATTTAATTTGACTCCGCTTTAATCTTTTAAAATATAAAAAAAATAAAAGTTAATTACTTTTCAACTTTTATATATAATAAATTAATGTAAATATAACAACTGATTTTGTTATATATAAATTCATATTTAATATAATATATAAAATATATATATTTTATAATTTTAAAATATAATTATATAAAACTTATATATTAAAATCAATAGATATTATAATAGAAATATATAATCGGATTCAGATGGAGTCAAATCCGAATCTGATCCAATTATTAATTGGATGCAGATTCCAGAATTCGGATATGATATTCTGATCCACTTACATAAATACATCATCCAAATCTGAGATAATTGGATCGGAGGTCAGCTCGGGCCTCGGATTTTTGGGTATCATTGACAGGTCTAGTATTAGCTGGTCTTGGAAGTTGGAACCCAACCAAAAGAAGCATTTAACCTAGCAGCCAATTCAGAAATTTTGAGGGGTGATTAGAATGTCCACCCCCACCCCCATCCCCACCTACCCAAAGAAGCATTTAACCTAGCAGCCAAGAATTTGGAGAAAATCTTTTTCATTATCATGGTGRATCCTTGAAGATAAAATCTTCCTTAGGTTCAGAAGTTGAGGGGTTAATAGAACCCCCCCGTCCCAAGTACATATTTTATACCATATCAGTGTTTTAAAAGGGATGGGAGGCATACGCCTTAAGGTGTGTTTCTCGGTGAGGTGCTCCCAAAATGCCTTAAGGCGTATGACAGAAGTGCTGATGCCTTTGAGGCATATGTCTTAGGAAAAAAGAAAAGGACAAGGAAAGAGAAGGGAAGGGAAAGAAAGAACGAAAAGAAAGAGGGAAGGGAAGGAAAGAGAAAGGAAAGAAATTTCGATAAGACCCCCTTTCAGCTAGTATTATGTATCTTCATTCTTCTTAATCCAAGACATCTTTCATAAAAAAAGAAAAAAAAAGACGATATCCTCCCTTTTGAAAGGGATGGTAGGATACATTGTATGGACGCCAAAACAGTTGCGGAATGGGTGGGCGAATTTCAAAAATTTCCTACATTCCTTCCAACTGAGAATCGTATTCCCTGATTTTAGAATATAATTCAAGGATCCTACTTGAACCAAACCAGACCAGATTTGAACCAAAAGAGAAGTGAGTGATTATACTTGATCCAGAGAAATAATATCTCTCAAAGTTGGTGTTCACGCCCAAAGAAGACACCAAGATCTGCTTCTGCTGAAGATGACACAACAACTGTGGAACAAAACCATCAGAGTACGTCCTACGCACTGAATCCTTCACAAGAATCCTCTGGAAACAATGAGCACCGAACTGAATCAGCCTTTCAGCAAAGACTGATATCAAGAACTCTTTCTTGATCTTTCCCCCACAGAGAAAACCGAACTGGTGGTGGTAGGCGGCGGCTGATGGAGAAGAGAACTAGAAAAGAAAGTGGCGAACTGCGTTTTCTTCTCTAGGGTTTCTGAGATCCAATCTTCAGAATGCAGGTGTGTTCTCTGCAAAATCCACTGGGTTCGAATTCTTGTAATTCGAATTAGGGTTTCCTCCACTTGCTTAATGATTAAGAAAACCTCCTAACCATATCAGGAGTTGCCCTTATCCAAATCTGTATTTGGATTAGGTCTCCTCTTAATCTTATCTGCAGATTAGATAAGCTTTTGGGCTCATCCTAATCTCAGATCCGCCCCTTTTTGTGACTGATCAAATCAGYCCAGTTCGAAATGGGCTTTAGGCCCATTAAGTAATAAGTGCTCAATAGTCTT